TATGGAAGTATATATAGTAATTAAGTTTGGAAAGAAAATTAGATGAAAATGAAATATAAAATCAATTGGAAAATCATGTCATATCTGAACATTAATTTTTATTTTTATTAAATGAGAGATTATGGCTTGTGATATCATTGAGACACCAAAGTTAAGCAATATCAGACATGGTCAGTACCTAGATGGGTAACCATTTGGGAATACCAAATGCTGTAAGATTCGATGTGTGGGTGATGTAATGGATAAAGGCTTGGAATTGGAAGTCCAAAAGTCAAGTTCCAATTCCAGTCAGCTTTGTTTTAAAATTCAAATCAATTGGCAATTAGCCAATGTTTTGCCAACAATTCCAGTAAACAATTTAATAAATAAATAGTATTTATTATTTCTGTTGTCAATTCTCAAGAACAAAGAAAGCGTATAAATTCACTTTCATGTGTTTTGGTTTTATTACAATTCTAATCATTGCTTTTTAAAAGAATAAACATTGCTGAGGAGTGAAGGTAGTTAAAATAATAGCAGTGTTAATTAAAAAAACGAACAAAAAAAAACATCCTTTTGACACACCATTTTTTACAGGTGTGAAGATCCAAGTTTGACAATACTTCCCACCCTCAAGTGTTCTTGTGCGAAAGTGAATGCAACATCATCATGCTGATCCCACTATCTGCACTGATAACCACTATGCAACACATGCAGCCAAGATGTTGCATAGCCAGTTCAAAATTATGGATAAACTGCCCAAAGTTCATATTTTTGCTCATTTTGTTCAAGCAGTTTCAACCTTGGTCATCATCAGGTACTAAATGCTGTCAATATTGTATGATCTATTCATACTAAGGAAGAAATTAAATGAAATAAAAAATTTAAATGCCTACACTTTACTTATGAACTTAATAATAGAATTCCTTTCCTTGATGTTTCAATAAACATTAATAGACACAATTTGAATAATTCACTGCATAAAAAAAATGAATATGTTTAAATCTAGTTAAAAAGTGAATACCTTAGATATAAATAGCTGTTATAAGAGACACAATTAACTAAGCAAAAATAATTTCATCTTCACACACATTTTCTAAGAACTGAACAACATAAAACACTTCCAAATTCAGGGCCTTCTCACTCTTGTTGGAGGAAATCCACCCTGACTTAGCGCTCATCCACCCTTTAACAGCTCATTTTTGATATTGCTTAAATTCAGTTAAAAAAACTCACTAGACCAGTTTCTAGTGAGGAACACTGTTTACTTGCCAACCACTCTGGTTTTGAATTCAGAGTTGTCCTTCTCCTAGTCTGGTGGCCACCCAAGGCTATAGAAACCAGTCTGTCCTGCTATTTGCCCATAGCTAGAGGGAGAAGAGATGGATTTATACCTTACCCAAGGGTATTGACATGTAAGTGAATGTAATAAACTCAACTGGAATTTGAACTCAGCTCTCCGATTCCTCAATCTCAGAAACTATCCATTACTTCACTGTGCCTCTTTTATATATATATTATATATGTGTGTGTGTGTGTGTGTGTGTGTGTGTGTGTGAATATATGTACTAATTAATATATATCTTTGCTCTATCCACATCAAGCACTATTACGTTTACACCTCATATATTACTTCACTGTGCCTCTATAAATCTAATTCCACTAACCATGTTGCTGATGAAAAAATAAAATTAGTTTTAAAGAATTTTAGAAAGAAACTGACACAAACAAACATCCCGAGATATATATATATATATATATATATATATATATTTTTTTCATGGAAATTTCTCCAAGGAGCTGCATTCACTGGTTCCCAGACGTTGAACGATTCAGTTCCTCTAGTTAAGAAAAGCTGGCATCCCGCTCTCACCCCTTCACTGTCGAAACTCCTAAATATAGCCGTCTCTTCTACTCTAATAGCTTCATGTCTCGCACCTCTCGCCTGTGGAACACCCTTCCCTTTTCCTGTTTCCCTGTGAGCTATAATCTCCAACTATTCAAATGTAATGTCAAATACATCTCCAGTTGCCTTGATCTATCCACTACCCTCATCCTTTCTTCTATCAATCCTATCTGATCTTGCTCTAAATTTTCTGTAACCCCTTGCGTCCTAGTGGCTTCCCGCCTTGCTTGGGGTGAAATGCTTAAAAAAAAAAAAAAAAAATAAAAATAAAAAATATATATATATATATATATATATATACATACACACACACACACACATACAATACAAAATAAAATCAACCTATTTATTTTATTAATACTAATGTTCAGCCACTAAAAGGCCCAAGAGCCATTCAAGGTAGAGGGTTAAGTGTGATGTTGTATGAGCATAAGAAAAGGCAAGAAGTGAAGGCCATGGGCCTATGCAGGAAAGATAACGAATAACACTCAACTTGAAGAGGTGAAGATTGTAGTGATTGGAAAAACATTGTACAGAGTGTTTGTTCCACAAAGAAGCAGTTCTTGGGAAGAAGCTGACCAAATTAAACTTACTTCTTACTATAAGACTATGAAGAGAATGGGGATGATTTGTGTACATGGCATGGCAGGTCCCAGTTATAAAGGTCATGGGTGTTTGGACTAATGAATGTAACTCATCAGAATACATGCTATGGATGTAGTAATAGAGTAGCATGGAAAATAATTAATCACCCACAAGCCCATGTAGATGCTCTTGAATTCTATCAAGACTGGGCATCTCCAGCCCAGATATGGTAGCAAAACTCCATTTCTGGCAAGATCTAGCTCTTGTAAAGATAGCAGAGTGAGTCAGATACTTACTGGTGCAGTACAATGAACCAAATACTTTTTGAGCATCTTTAACAATAGATCGGATATATAAATTCTATTTGGGGTGTGTGGAGAGTGTGAGTCCCAATAGACATTCAAGAGAAGAAACCTCCTTAAGAGAACACCCATCCATCATGAAAGGGGAAAGTTCAGGGTCTGCTCAGTGTTGGTGTTAGTGTAACCAAATGCACTCTACCTATAAAGAAGATGGAAAGCCATTCAAAATATAATTCACCAGTATGCATCATTTAACGATTGCTGTAAATACCTTAGACTTATCATTTATAATAAAAATGTCAAAACATAATCATTGCCAATAACTCTGGACCTCAAAAATTCCACTCCACTCAATGTTCACTATTTACATTATTCAGACAACTGTCCTCATCTTTGTTGCCATGTTTATCACAATGTTTCGGCCATTGTACTTCTTCAGGTGGTTGGAATGTTGAACTGAACCCTTTATTTCGCTCACTGGGGTAGACTGTTCTAGTTCCACATGCCATGTTTAATGGCTGTCAGTTATCAGTTATCTCCTGTTAATTTCCCTCTCAAAGTTCTCCACCGCCTTAACCAGGTATTGAACTCACACTCTTTGGGTCCTGTCACTGGATCTAACTAACGCCTTTATCCACTGTGCCATGTGTCCATGCGGACCGACAGCTTGCGTTCTGTTTTCATTGTAGGATCCTTTTTTACTTTGCTGTAGCTACCATTGCTAATGAGGTCTTCTAGTTTTCTTGTAGAATCTGATTTGTTCATCACTACAGTTGCATTGCCTTTGTCACCCGGTAGTAAGGACACACGCCACAGTGGATAAAGTTGTTAGTTAGATCCAGTGACAGGACCTAAAGAGTGTGAGTTCAATATCTAATTAAGGTGGTGGAGAACTTGAAGAGGGGAATTAACAGGAGATAACTGATAACTGACATCCATTAGACATGGTACGTGGAACTAGAACAGTCTACCCCAGTGAGCGAAATAAAGGATTCAGTTCAACATTCCACCCAACTGAAGAAGGCCAGAGCGTACAACGGCCGAAATGTTGAGATAAACATGGTGACAAAGACAAGGACAATAGTACGAATAATGTAAATAGTGTACATAATACCTCATCTCATAAATATAGTCAGATACCGAAGAAGGCCGGAGCATACAACAGCCAAAACATTGTGATAAACATGGCGACAAAGATGAGGACAATAGTCCGAATAATGTAAATAGCATACATAATACCTCATCTCAGAAATATAGACAGATACTGAAGAAGGCCGGAATGTAAAACGGCCGAAACATTGTAATAAATATGGCAACAAAGATGAGGACAATAGTCCGAATAATGTAAATAGCATACATAATACCTCATCTCAGAATTATAGGCCGATACTGAAGAAGGCCGGAATGTACTACGGCCGAAACGTAATAAATATGGCAACAAAGATGAGGACAATAGTCCAAATAATGTAAATAGTGTACATAATACCTCATCTCAGAAATATAGACAGCCACTCAATGTTGTTTATGAATCCCCAATATCAATAATCAAAAAACATTACACTCTTACAGCAGCATCAGAAATCAGTATGTTTAGAGCCAGATAGTCTGTTGTAGCCTACTCTACATCAGGCTGGTTTTTTTCTTTTGGAATTGTACTGTTAGATTTATCACCTTACTATAGCTGTAAGTGTAAAAAATGGATTCATACCTTTCCCAAGAGCATTAATGCAAAGAGAATTCAAGCAACCTCTGCCAGAATTTGAACAACACAAAAATTCTATTTTCTCTCTCAATAACCCTTATGTCAAAACCACTTCCATTTGAAGAGTATGAGGGTCAGCTGGAAAGTTCATAGTCTGACCAAGATATAAATATAACTAGACACACCAGTTGGTAGACTAAAAGGCATCTAAGTGTACTAAAAGCCAACAACTGGTTGTAGTCTGGTTCACTTGCATGTCATTTCGTCTACCAACTGGTGTGTCTAGTTATATTTATATCTTGGTCAGACTATGAACTTTCCAGCCAATCCTTGTACTATCTCCCAAAAGAAGCTTTATAGATGTTAGTTTGCTAAGAAGAGTATGTTCTCTTTAATATAAATACTATTAAAATTAAGCAAGTTTGTTTAATAAACAATAAATACTATTAAAGTTAAGCAAGTTTTGAGTTAGCTATACATGAGAATTAAGATAAGAATTAATTAAGATATGATCCAAAAAGGATACATGCGATAAGCTGTGGAAAGACGAAGAAGATTCGTTTTCAACAGACCAATGTCACTGGAAAATTTCTTCATGGATGCACGAATCTGCGCAGACAACTGCAAGTAAAAAATATAAAAATAAAACAGTTCGTTTCTAGCAAAATTGAATAAAAATAAAATAGGCAACAACTTATTTGATGCATTAACAACTCAAACAAAGAAAGCTATTTTAAACACAAAGAAAATTATTCTTGAAATAAACAATAGCAAAAAAAATATCACTAAAGCTGTGTAAGTTTTCTCATAAAAAAAAAGAAAAATTACAATACTGGGTTAGTTGTTGAGATTTTACAACATATCAACCTCATTGGGTTATTTAATGTCAAAATCTGTATTTTTATTATGCATGTGAGTCTATGAGTAAATATTGTACCAGAACATAACGTATAAACAGAAATCAGTTGGTCTCATACTTGTACCTATATGCAAAAATCAATCAGTCTCATAATGGTACCTATAGGCAGAAATCAGTCAGTCTCATAATGGTACCTATAGGCAGAAATCGGTCAGTCTCATAATGGTACCTATGGGCAGAAATCGGTCAGTCTCATAATGGTACCTATGGGCAGAAATTGGTCAGTCTCATAATGGTAACTATAGGCAGAAATCGGTCGGTCTCATACCAGAGCCTATAGACAGACACAAGTTATCCATACCCAAATTTGTATGCATCCACCATTTTTTTGTTCAGTGGGGAATGGGAAGAGGTCTTGGACCTGCAATTCAGTTCTGTAATAATAATCATTATTAAATGGTGTTAAGTATCTTTCTAGACGAGATTATTTTGTACAAAGGTAGACTGAAAAGTTCATAGCCAAACTAGAACTGTAAAATCTTGCATTCATTATTTTCAACTCTTCTTATTAATAATTGCATTGTTTCTTTCCAGGTAAACTGATATCTGACTGTTCAAAGACTGTTCATCCTGTTGGTCAAAAAAGTCAACAACAGCAGATATGACATCATCATCATCATCATCACTGTGATACCTGTTCCTCACTAAGTGTTTTTTTCATGGTGGGGAACAGATGATAGTCAAATCAGGAGAATAGAGAGGGTGATCAACCAATTCGAAGCTAAACTCACACACAGCAGCCATTGAAACCAAGGATTTGTGTGCAGGAGCATTGTCCTGATGAAACAGGATACCTAATGATATTGATAGTGCTGTGAAATCTTGCATGCATTAAAGGGAAAGTCTTGAAGATAACCCAAGGTCTGTACACCCTGCAACTGGCACCACTGACCAAAAGACTAATTGCATTCACCACATAGTGATGGATGACAGGCTATTGACTATAAATCAAATAGCCAATGCTGTTAAGTATATGTTGTGAGAGAGTTAAGAATTTTCTGCACAATGAACTTGGCTTGACAAAGGTTTCTGCTCAGTGGGTGCCATGTATTCTGACACTTGATTAAAAGAACTCCAGGCTAATCACATCACAAGGAAAAGCTGACATCATTTGAGGCAGATCCGACTGGTTTCCTTGCACCATCCCCTTTTCATGATCTGATAATTACATGACATAACTTAACAGCTTGAACATTAAAGTCCTGATATGGAAATTAAGTAGAACTTTAGAAAGGTACTTTTTATGTTTATTTTAGAAAAGAGAATTATGGAATTGCTATTGATTATCCCATAGCAATAAACTGTAATTATTTTCAATATTATTTTAGTAAATTCAAGTTTAACCTAGAAGTGTGTGCTGGAAATATTTCAACTTGAGTGAAAAGAGATAAAAAAGATTCTGATGTTGGCCAATCTGGTAGGATTTTGAAAGTGGGTCATACCAAGAATTTTTCAGCACCCCCTCATATAAAAAAGACAAAGAGGAAGGTATAATTGTAATTATTATTAACAAATCAACATATCAAGGGAATGGATGTTAATAGACATTTTCAACTGCCTATTTCCCTTAAAGTAGCAAGAGTTACTTGCAGATGCATATCCATAGACAATGGCATGCATGGTTGTAGAATGTTGGTTAGCTTGCATGGTGGTCTGACGCACAAGTAGACTGGTGTAGCCACAAAGTTTAATAGCCCCGAATCATTTAATAGAGAGATATATGGGTGAATAGAGTCCACTCATGCAAATGTGTTGGGCAGGTCCACTACAGCAAAATGGACCAACCCACCTGCTGCATTAGGTACTCTCCTATAAAATAGGGTAAATTATCTGGCTTGCCTTTCCAAGTGGATACAAGGACCCGACCTCCAGCTGGAGAAAAATTGGTCTGAAGTAAGAGCAAAGGCCGACGCAGCCAGTCAGACTTGGCGTCAATGGAGGTTGTCTGTGAAGGGCAGGGCAGAGGCGTTTGCCACTTACGTTTTCCCAATTGTCCTTTATCTATTGTCTGTACTTCCTCTCTGTAAAGACCATAGGAAGCCGCTTGAGTGCTCGCTATCCTCCATTTTATGGAGGGGATGCAAGCATCAGGTCAACAGACGAGTCTGTGCACAACATCTGTGTCATGAGGGGGCTGGGAATGCCACACTTGGTGAGCCACAAACTCGCCTCGAGGTTGGCTTTCCTACGCTGCGCATTGACAGGAGATTCGATTATGATGGGGATTGTTAAGGAGGCATTCCCTTTCCTTACTATCAGTCCCCCCATCTCATGGGTTGAGCACCATTGTAAACCCCGGGATCAACTGGATTTCCTTTACGAACATCAGACGGCCTTGTTGGCTGTTCCTCGGTCCAGTGACCTTTCTCAGCCTAGGAAGGTCTTCTATCGTCATCTAGTGGAGAGGGTCACAAAGGATCCTCTACGTGATCAGCTTGACTTGTTGGAGGAGGAGTTTTGCTCTTCCTGGTCTTGGGTGCCAGCGGCAGATTATCTCAGTAACCCTGAGGTTTTGCTTACCTGGCGATTGGCTCAGAATTTGCTGCCTCTCAATGACAAGGTCTTAATATGGGGCTTGGCGGATTTGCCAGGCTGTGAACGGTGTGGTCTTGGTTTAGAAGAAACGACTTTGCACGCCTTCTACCATTGTCCCTGGGTCTGCCCCTTATGGGACCATGTCAGTGAGTTGACGGCTCATCTCACTCCCGAAAAGCTTGTGCTCATCGATTGCGCATACACGTGTGACAATGTGTCACCCCCGTATTCTGGGGTGAAATGAATGGTGTTTCTGACGCTGCTGGCCACGGCCCAAATGGTGATTTGGACAATGTGACAGGAGGAAGTCTTGCGAGGCAACCATCTTTCTCATCAGGACCTGATCCGATTCTTTGAGCATCAGCTCAAGATGAAGATGAACTGAGAGAAAACACTTGCATTCGACAGTCTTTAGCGAAAAGTGGGTGACTGAAGTGAGCTTGGTTCGTGTAAACGGGGCAAGCCTTGATTTTCTCTTTTTCCCTATGTCACATCGGGGCAGCTTCCTGTGGTGTCCTCCCCTGGTTAAGCTAAACAAGCTTTGGGTACCTATTTAATGTGAGTAAGTGTTGTTCCCGGCATGTTCCTGGCCACATCTTTGGTTATGATGCAAGTTGAGATCCCCAACCTCCCCAGTTTGTTTTGGCCGCTTTTTATCTCGACTAGGTCAGCTTTATATTTTCCCATGGCCATATAATTTTTTATCCTTTTCCCACTCCTGTAGTAAGAGAGCTTCTTGATTTTGTCCAATGGGCAGAATACAGTAGCCTCTCCTTTTTGAGAGTTGGACGGGCCATACTAACATCAGTTATGTTTAGTTTACTTTGTGTTGAGTTTTAGTTTATTGTTGGGTTCATCTACCTCCCCTCTCACTTTTTCCTTATTAGATTTTTATATATAATAATTTATTATCATTAAATTTTTAAGGCATGGGGCACGTTTTGTAGGTCCCCCTTGAGAGGATGCGGTATTGTGGTGTATGGAGGATTGAGTGGTAAATGGTAAATGTGGAAATTATAATGAGTGAATGTGTCATGAATCGGATTAGCTAGGTATAGGATAGTAAGTGTGGACCAGCCTCAACCCCTCCCCTTCTTAGGCCATGTGCCACAATTGTATTTTATACAATAAATATACCAAGTGGATACAAGAAGGCAGCCATGTTAGCAGGTAAGTCATTTGACTTCTAGAATGGTAAGGCACTAAAATGCCAGTAGAGTTGTACAATAAGCACTACAAACAGAAATAATTTATTTTTCAAATATTTTTTTCATATTTTTGTAGATTAAGCAATCCAGATAACAAATATCATTTTTTTCTTTTTTAATTAAATTTTATTAAAGTTAATGGTGAGTGGGGAGGGTCCAGTTTTCTATGTAAGTTCATTGTTTTTTTTATCAATATCATCCAATGGAAATAATTCCATTAACACAAGGGGTTACAGGGTGTGGAAGAATTAGTGACAGAAATATTAATAATGAGCAAAAAGAGTAATCAGGACAGTAGATAGTGATTGGCATTGCATTTAAATTAATTCTTGCAGATTAAAGTTGGCTGGAAAGCATAGAGCCAGAAGGGAGTTCCACAAGTGAGAAGTGCAAGAAAAGAAACTGTTAGCATAAAATTTACAGTTTCATCTAGCCAGCTCAACTGTAAATTGATCCTGATACCAGTCAAGTGAAGTGCTCTTCTAAACAATCACAATGAAAGTATTTATAGAAAAGACACAGAGAGGCAACCTTGCGATCAGGGCTAATATATTGCTGATTCTTCTTTAGATTTTATCAAGGAGCTCACGGTAAATAGCAGTGGCACCAGACCATTTGTGGCAACAATATTCTAAGCATGGATAAATGGTGGTCTTATAGACATGTAAGATAGATTCTGGAGAGAAAAATTGTCTCACACAACAGTGAACCAACTCTCTTAGCAGCTGACCTAGCAATGTATTTAATATAGAATCCATTACTAAGTCAATATTGATATACACCAGAAGCCAAAACAAATATTAAAAATTATTAAATTTTATAAATGTTAATGGTGGGGGGGTCTAGTTTTCTATGTAAATTCATTGATGATTTCAACTCGTGTGCAAGCCAAAACAAATATGCTCAAATGATATAATGTCTTAAAATTAAATGTTAAAAATAAAAAGAATTTTTCATAATCAAAAGTTATTTTTTCATATATTCCTATTGATTAAACATTCTGGATTGTTAATTAAAAAAAAAAATTTGCACTTATATCTAAACATCTGATAACATACCAAAGTACAAAGTAGACATACTAGAAAAAAAAATACAATGACATTCAATTTCTAATTTAATATTTAAAATATTAGTCAGAATTTCTACAAGTTTTTTTTCTTTCACTTTCAACAATAAAATGTCAGCAAGCCCAGCAGAAAAATTTCTGGATTTGACTTTTCCTGCCCATAATCATCTTTCATAATGGCTGCCTCTCCAGACACAGAAAGAGAGAGAGAGAGACACACACACACACACACACACACAAAAAAAAAAAGCTGTTTTTTGAAGGATTATAAATCTTTAAATTGACATCTGATTGTTTGAATGGCCTTTTCACACTGTTCTTTATACATGTATATATACACATGTCCAAGTCTGCCAGTGTACTGCCATGCAAACAAGGACTATTGGCACAGAAAATGAAATTTTCAAGCCAAACTCAAATTCCAGTCCGGTATTCTGCATTCACTTTCACACTTTTGTTTTTTGGGGGAAGTGCTGCAAACATTGACAGGAAGTTAGTGATTTTTTTTATGAAAAGGTTACACTTCATGTAAGCACAGAAAGAGAACAAGTCAGTAGAGTAAATGATAAAGAAAGAAAAGAGAAACTAACTTTAGTTTCAGGCCAGTTGCAGTTGTGAATGATAAGATCAAACCAACTGATGCACTCAGCAAAGATGACAGAAGAATTGCTATTGCAAAACAAGGAAAGCCTTCCAGTATGACAGTTAAGTGCACAAAGTGGATTCCTAGAATACTGCTGAAGGAGGAGAGAGTATTGCTGCCCCCAAATTGATTTTTCTATGGCTTATCAACCCTTTACAGGTTATTTAAAGCCAGAAAATATTTTTAGATCATGAGAATTTTTTTTTGAGAGATAATAATGATTTAGTGATACAAGTTTTACTAATTAACACATAGCTGTGGGAGAAGACATGCAAATACCTTTTCTCAAGGGCAAATATATCAAACACAACTGAAATTGAAAGTTGGGCCTCCGATCAACAATTCCGAGCCATTGTCCATTACACCACCTACACATACAAGTTTACAGCAAATGGTATTCCTAAGCAGTCACCCATCAAGGTACTGACCAGGGTTGACATCACTTAACTTTGGTGATTGTACAAGGAGCCAGTGTTTCAACAAGATGTAGCCACAAGCCTTGCTGCCCAAAAAGCTTCCAGAACTGCATAACATGAATAGTGGGTAGGAGTTGATTAGGTAAGAGCACTGGAGTAGTGGCCCACTCTGAGCCACCAAGTTGAGACGGGGGGGGGGGTTGTAATTAGACAAATTAGTATAATGAAGTATCATGCAAAATTAATCTTCCCATTTTATTACCCCTCTCATTCCACTATATTTTTTACTTAAATTCACTTTATGGTTACGTAATGCACTGGATATTTACTTTAAAGGTTACAATGGTAGCCAGTTACACTTAGGGGATTTTTTTTTTCATAAGTTCCATAATGTTAATGTATTAACATTTTATTCTAAAATGGGTTATTTATTAAAAAATCTATTTTCTAATTATTTCAAAATCTGTTTTATTATCTTGTTTTATTGCTGCAATTGTTGTTGTTGCTGTTTTTTTGGTCTCCAGTCAAAACAAAATAAATGGGCATAATCATTATCATTCTTTATATTTTGTAGATGTTGTCCAGTTTTGGAATGTTGGTCAGAGAGGTGGCAAATTCTACAATTTCTATGAAGCAGGTCTACATATCCTTATTCAAAGGTGGAAAGATGATGATGTTGAGGACTAGATTTTGTTACATTCTTCCTAAAACCAGATCTTTTGATTCATACTTCACTAATTTACACTACTGGCTGGATGTGAACACGCCAAACACCCAAAACTGAACTAAAATTCCATCAACTACATAAGGCTCCACATATACCTTCCATTTTTACTCACACACTCAAAGAAAAAAATAAGCAATACAATCCAGAATTTATACCAAATAGCACCCACTCCTACCTAAAGAAACAAAATAAAAACCAGAGCTGATTTAAGCCTAAAAAAGAATATAAAAGCCAATCAAGCAGTTTTTTTGGCAGTTGGATGGCATCTTGGCCCAGGGTCAGACTTCATCAGAAAGTGACTTCTCATCTCAAAGAGACAGCTTACCAAAGGCTGTTGCCACAGTAAGTCACAACTTATCCTCCTTCTCCTTCCATATGCCTCTATGGACACCTTTCACAACTCCACTTACCTCCCTTTTTTTTCAATGAGAGACATTTAGACCAATTTATCATTTATTATATTTTATGTTAATACAATTGTTTATTTCTTTAAGGCTTTGTTATTTCTTCTTTGTTCTGCCACCCTACACTTAATATAACAACTTGAAGTTTTGAGATATTTGTGTTCATTTTTACACACTTTGTATTAAATGCACAATTTAGTCAATAGATGTTTATGGAAAATAACACAATTGACAACAGAAAATATCAGACTTTCAGCCCAATGCCTCTGAATGAAAGTCAGGATATCAAAAAATTGAGCAATTCATTTTTTTATGGATTATCAAACACTTTGTGGGTTATTTAAAGCCCAAAAATATTTTGGATTGTAAGAATAATTCATTTTTTTTTTTTTTGCAAATGAATATTGTTTTAACAATTATTTGGAGAATAACAATAATTTTACCAGATACAAGTTTTACTATTTAATCCATAGCTAAAAGGAGTAGATGGATCCATAACTTTCCCAAGGGTATTAACACATAAATGAATGTAACAAACCCAAATAAATTCCAATGCAGCACTCCAATTTCTCATTCAGAGTCACTATCCATGACACTACCTGTAGATCTGGATATGGAAAGAAAGCTACAGGTTGAGTATTCTTGATACAAAATTCCAAAATCTAAAAGTTTTTTCAGGTGCTGATATGGCTTGCCACAAATGGAAAATTTCAGAAGTCGCAGGGAAGGCTCCTAGGTGATGTGCAGCTGTTGTAAGTGACCTCATCTGTTCTGGGTGGCAGTTCCCCAGCCCAGCTACATAGCCTACATTTCAGAAATCACTGGGAAGGTTCCTAGGTCATGTATAGCTGTTTTAAGTGACCTCATCTGCTCTGGGTGGTAGTTCCACAGCCTAGCTACATAGCCTACATTTCAGAAATCACTGGGAAGGTTCCTAGGTCATGTATAGCTGTTTTAAGTGACTTCATCTTCTCTGAGCGGGGATTCCCCACCACAGCTACGTTGGTGCCAGTTTTTTGTTAGCGATCAACACAGCAACACCTTTGTTTGTTGATTACTTATCAGGTGTTTTGTGATCAGTAAAGATATTATTCAAAATGTCATAAAGCCCTGCATTTATATATTTTTTGTAAGTACTGATCGTGTATTTTTTTTACACATACAGAAAGTACACAAAATTTATTAAATTCTATATAAAACTACTTTTAGGGTATATGTTATTTATATAAAATTACCTTCAGGGTATATGTATAATCTGTGTTATGAAATGTAAAGGGATATTGTGTTTAGGCTTGGGTCCATTCCCAAGCTGTCCCATTTTATAGATGCTATATACAAATTAAATACCCTCTATTCCAAAATCCATAAAAAATCTGAAAACTGAAGCACTTCCGGTCCCAAGAATTTTGGATAAAAAATTCTCAGCCGATATTAATAATTATGTTACTTGAACAAAAAAAAATCTTTTTGTTTCCGTCTCTGAGGTAAAACGAAGTGATCAGTTCCAAGTTTTAATAAGACAGATGCCAAATACATAATCCAGCATTTTTGACAGTGTATGCAGATGGGCAAAACCATGATAGTAACAAATAATGAAATAAAATCAAGACTCACTTTTGTATAAGGAACACTGGTTCTTGAATGCTTATCTCGTTCATTGATTTTTACCTGAATTTCACGTCCCAGTTGGGAACATTCTTCAAATTGGGACAACCTGAAATTGATAATGTAAAGGCAATGAGAAATAGAAAAAGGAAGCAAATTGTATCCCTAAAATGAATGAATAAAAAACAAATAAATTCTTTTAGTTAATCCATTGCACCAGAGAAGAGCTTTAAAACACAAATCAAGTAAGATAATTAATTAATCAGCAACATATTTGGATCAATTGAAATTATACCTCAAAGGTTATTTTCCTTGAGCCTCAATGAAAAAGTTATTTGCACTCTGGTTGGTTGGTTGATTTGGTTTAGTGGTATAGCAACCTTTATGGGTTATTTAATGCCAAAATCTAAAGATTTTGAACTCAATTTTATGACTTCAACTAAATATATTTTGAACACAATTGTATGCCTTCAATGACTGATAAAATATATTGCTGGTCATTTTGCTATAAAATATATTGCTGGTAATTCTACTATTAAAGGTATTGCTTGTCATTTTGCTTTAAAAATGTAAAGCTGATAATCATTTTTGTATAAAAATATACTGCTGGTATTTTTATACTTTCATAGTGTTTTGGTTTTGTTTAGGGGTTCACTATTTGTCCATAGCTGGGACCCTAACTGGTGCTACCACCCCAGTTCAGATTGAAACTGGGAACAACAGCAATTAAGAGTTAGTCCCATGCTCCTCAAAACCTCCAATCTCCTGATCAAAGGCCTTACTGCTGGATGTAGTTTAACATCATATCCAGAACTGTATTTGACTTTTGTGTATTTAGAAATACTGTAAACATACAAAGCTTTCCACCAAGCATCCAATGATTACCCCACGTTGCATTTCAATTCTCAATCTTGTCAGTGTGCACCAAAAGCTGGGAAAAGGTTCACAGCTGCTCCCAAGGTAATAAAATGAAAGATAAACGCCACATCAAGAAATAAGAACATCAACTTGGTTTCCCATATTATATGCAGATATTTTCAGTTCATCATCTGCTCATCCTGGTAGGTAGGTGATACTTGAAACAAATGGAAAATGGGTGAAGGCAGAAAATTGGTGCCTCATAACCAGCTGCTATGGGTAGATAGAACTCGATAGCCAGGAAAGGCCAGTATTCAGACTTTCAATTTTTCTATAGCTCAATCTCTTACTCAAATATCTCTTGAAATGACATTTTTAATGCTTAATTTGAGAACTGCACCACTGAGGTTTCCTCTTGGGTTAAAGCTGACATGGGTGCTTTCATTCCTTCTCAGAAATACCAAGTGAAACCACAATCTTCTTCATGGTTCACACCAGCATGCTCTGCCACTAAAGCCAACAGGAACCACTATTTCCAGCTATACCAGTGTGATAACTCCCATCACAACAGACACCTATTCAGGATTGCATATAATAAATGTAAATGTGTCCTCAAAGGAGCTAAGTCTTTGTTCGTTGAGAAAATGAGGCACCATATCACATCTAACAAATTTGGCTCTTGTGAATACTGGTGAATCTGTAACAGGGTATCAAGTAAGAGAAAGTTTTCTATTCCTCCCCTCTTCACATAATTTAAGGTATTAACATCTTCTGCTGATTAAACAGAATGTTTTCGGCTATAAATTCTCCTCAAACTCTACTCTTGACTTATCTGGAGAATACTTGCCTGACTTTCCACTTAAAACTGAGTATCTGTTGAGTGATATGCATATAATCCCTTCCATGGTTTCTGCTGAAATCTCTAATCTGGATCCCCACAAAGCATGTGAACCTCATGATATCCCTATAATAGTCCTTAAGAAGTGTGCTCCCAAACTGGTTCCTGTTCTCTCTAAACTGTATAATAAATGCCTTGCTGCCTCTTGTTTCCCTGCCTGTTGGAAATCATCAGCTGTTGTTCCAGTTTTTAAGAATTCAGGTGAACCATCTGACATTTCCAGTTATCGGCCTATTACCTTTCTACCTCTTTTTGGAAAACTACTAGAGGCCCTAATCAATGATAAATTGATTAAGCATCAGACAAGCAATACAGCTTTCATTTCTCCAGGTCAACTGCTGATATACTGACAATAATTGCAGAAAGAATCTATCAAGTTCTAGATAAGAACAGTGACGCTCCAGCCATAACTTTGGACACCTCAAAAACTTTTGACAGAGTTTGGCATACTAGTATTTTTCACAAACTGAAAAGTTACAGTGTTTCCAGGCAAATTTTTGAACTGACTCAGTTTTTCTTGTCAAACCATAAAATGAAAGTTATCCTTAATGGCCACTGTACCAGATCATTTTGTACTAATACAGGGGTCCCCCAAGGCTATATCCTCAGTCCTACTTTGTTTTTAATTTTCATTAATGACCTTCCCGATGGCATCAACTTTCAACATGGTATCTATGCTGATGATACAACCATTTACTCCTGTCTTGATAGTAAGTTCGATCAACTTGATAAGGTTAAATTAGTGGCTGATTTCAAATTGACCTACAGTATGTTGTTAACTGAAGCAAAGGATGGTTTGTTAATTATAATGCCTCCCAAACTAAGTTGCTCTCTATTAATCACCTGAGAGAACCTTTTATGTCTTCCATCAGCATGGCTGATGCTAACCTCCAGAAGAGTGACTTGTTGTACCTTCTTGGGTTAATATTCTCAGCAGATATGCTGGAAAAACTATATTGAATCCATTGCTAGGTCAATTCTCCAGAATCTATCTTACATATCTATAAGTCTGCCATTCATCCATGCTTAGAATATTGCTGCCACATATGTCTAGAAATCCTTAATAAAATCCAAAGCAGAATCAGTAATATTGTTTGCGTCTAGGTTTCAGCTACTTTCCCACCTCCCACCATAAATTTGCCTCCCTGTGCCTTTTCTATAAATACTTTCATGGTAATTGTTTGGATGAGTTGGCTAGATGTAACCATAAATTTTCTGCTAACAGTTTCTTTTCTCACACTTCTTGCTTGTGGAACTCTTTTCTGGCTCCATGCTTTCCAGGCAACTTTAATCTTCAAAAATTTAAATGCAATGTCAATCACTATTTACTGTCTTCCTGATTACTTTTCAATTGTTCTTGTTCTATAATATTGTTTCTGTTTTCTAATTCTTTCACTCAGTAACCCCCCCCTTATGTCTTAGTGGCTTTAATGCCTTACATTCAGAGAGTTACAGAGAGTGAAAGTGAGAGAAAAGACTGGGCATAGAGGGGATTGAAGAGAGAATAAAAAAAGAAATGGGAATCAAGGCAACAGAAGATGGCGATTGATGTCACATTTAAATTTTTGAAGATTGTAGTTATCAGGAAAGCAAGTTAAGAAACTGTTGGAGTAGAAGTGGTGGTTGCATTTAACAATTTCAACAGTAAAAGAGTGGGACCTAGATGCCAATCTAGTAGCATGCTTAAATTCATGTAGTCAGGACACCAGTGAAAAAAGCTCATCAGAACAGTTGCCATGAAAATATTTGTAGAAAAGACAGAGGGAAGCCACATCATGTCTACAAGAAATTAACTGAAGTCAAGAAGCCAATTCAGGAACAATTACATTGCAGATCCTTCTTTGGATTCTGCTGAGAACCTAAAGATGAATAGCAGGGTCACCAGACCAGATATGGCAACAATATTCAATGCTTGAAAATGTTATTTGAAGATGTAAATGCTAAATTTCTTTCAGAAAATGACTTTTTCTTCCTTCTTTTTCAATAATTTAGTATTCAGTTATCCAGAATTTTGAATTACCTGAACATATTTTTTCAATCCCTGTTGTTCAGATAATTGAGTAAGTAATGTAAAGAAGCTTATAAAATTGTCATGCTACTAGATTCCTCATGCTGTGTAGCAAGTGTTCAGCATAACATTAACACTAGAAATGATTTTCTAATTTAAATAACAAGCAACAAACTCTTATCAAGACCAGTTCTGATCTTGTCTACAATTTCAATAGAGATTTAATATTTTATAAGAAAACCTTGACATTCTTTTTCTTTTGACAATAATGTTCATACTGTACAAGGCCCAATGCAGAAGGATACAGAGTAAAAGATACAGTTTATGGGGATATGTCAGAAAGATAATAGTTGACTCTAGATTTGAACAGGTTAAGATTGTAGTGATCAGTAGTTGGAGTCGGTTCCCTAAAGCAGTGGTTCATGAGAAGAAGTTGCTCAAATGGAACTTAACCTCACTAATGGAATACAAAGGGAATGAGGATGGTTCACCAGAATGTGCAAGGCATGGTGGATCTTAGCTGTGAAGGTTAGAACAAGTGAAACAAAAGAATGTAGCTCATCTGAACACTTTACATAGGAATATCAGTAGAGCAGCGAGAAGCTTGTGACGTTTTGCCTGTGGGAAAGTGGTTGTGGAGTGGAAAATAATTCATCATTCATAAAGATGCAAAAACTGCAAAGTGAAGACTGGGCAGCTTCTACCCATATGTGGCAGCAAGACTCTATTTTTGACCTGATCTGGTTCTTGTAAAGACAACAGGAGGAGTCAGGTACTTACTGGAATGGTAAAGGGAACTGACCATTTTTCCAGCATCTTTAGCAATTAAAAAGTGTTCTGAAAATTGTTGCTTCTTAATTAAATTACTTAAAACTTGTTTTGCTTTTTACTTATAACTTACATTTTTTGCTTTTTAAAAATTACTTGATTGATAAAGTCATGAAGAAGGAAACACAAAAATGTACAAAAATAAACTGACATTTTTATAGAAAATAAATTAATGCCAGTAGCAGAGATAGTCTGTGGTTTGGTTTGGTTGTTTGTTTAACAGCATATCAACTCCTTATGGGTCATTTAATGCCAAAATTTAATTTACTATTAAAATCTATTGTTGGTATTTTTTTTTTTTACTATAAAAATGTATTTTTTATACTGCAATAGTGTTTTGCCCCCAGTTTGGGGGTTTCACTATTTACCCAAAGGTCAAAGTGGACCTGGGAACAATAGCAATTAGGAGGTGGTTCCATGCTCGTCAAAAAACCCTGATCAGAAACCTTGCTGCCAGATGTAGTTATTGTCATACCCAAGACATGATAGTGTGTGTGTGTGTGTGTGAATGCAAATTGATATATATATATATATATATATACAATTGGGAAGCATTTATGATTTATTCCAGAAATTTCTATTTATGGACACATCAACACAATCCAAATCTAATTCAGGAATTGGCTCTCAGGTTGACACCTGAACACTACTAGAAGAATATACCAATGCTGTCATAAGATCAAAAGTGACTCTTATTGATGATAGTAGATATAAACAGAAACAGGATTTTAATACCTGCCTGTAAGATCTCAAGAGAAAATGAAAAATAGACAGTTTCAAAAGAACAAGCAGAACTTAGACCCACTCACATTTTAAAATGCTCAACATTTTTTTTTAAATTGAGCTAACACTCCTGAAACTTTTTCTTATTTACATCATAATAGTAACATAATCTCAACTATCCAGGGCTTTCAATGGAAGGAGATATCTGAGCCAAGTAACCCAGAGTTTGATTTGATTGATTTGTTTTTACAGATTATCAACCTTTTGCAGGTTATTTCAAGCCAGAAAATATTTTTAAATTGTAAGAATATTTGGAGGGGTTAATAATGATTCATACTGATATAAGTCTTACTAATTAACCCATATGAGGGGGAGAGGTAGATTCATACCTTACCCAAGGGTATTTGTATGTAAGTGAATATAATGAACCCAACTGGAACTCAGCTCTCTTGATTTCCAATTTTGAGTTGTTATCCATTAAACCACCTGATATTCCCAAACAGTCACTCACTGGTGAGGCTCAATGTTGCTTAACTTTGGTGATTGTACAAGAACTGTTGTTTCAATGTGACATGACTGTAAAACCCAAATAAACCAAGGATTGCATGTCCCCAAGTGTCCATAAAATGAATATAAAATCAATAGATTAGGTGATATTAGAACAGTTTCAATTTCTGCTGCCCAAATTCATGTTGAGGAGTCTCAAATAATAAAACAATTTGTTGAAATACATAATATTTTAGACATTATTTTTCATTTCATTTTGACAAAAAACTTTTCAAATCAAAATTTTGAACTATACAGTGGGATTGATTGATTGATTGATTTGTTTTGTTTTTACGGTTTATCAACACTTTGTGGGTTATTTAAAGACAAGACATATTTTGGATTGTAGTAGGTTGCTTACAGTATTATAGGGGTGGGGGTGCTCAGAATACAAGACGAGATAAGGAAATATAAGGAAGTAATTCAGCATTTGATATGTGAAATAATTATGATTCAAATCGACAATACCCAAAGTGGTTAATAATTAATTAATAATTCGAATATGCTACATCATTTGAAACTGGCATTTATGATGCTATATAGAAAACAAAAATCAAATTAATTTCAAAAGAAAATTATGGTAAAAAGAAAACATTCCAGTGACTATCAAAAGTTTTTTTTTTTTTTATTATTTTACCTGTTAGCTTTGGTATTTTTTTAAATTGTTCTTTCAAAACTGGTTCTTTAAGAAACTTCAGATTTATTTTTTAGGTAAGTAATATATGAAAAAAGAAAGAAGTCTAGATTACGAATTTCAACTTTTGTTTCTTTTTTTTTTTTGGTTTTATTTTTAAATAAAGTGGTATCAGCTGATTATCTATTTCATTTTATTTTGGCTTTTTCGTAGATGTGATGTGAATCAATTTTTACAATGAATGAATATATCTAACAACAGGACCCATTATTAACTTTTAGAAAATTATTTTAATTTTTTTATATTCGTGATTTGAAGTGCTTGAGCTTGATCGATAGTAATATTTGAAAAAAAAAATTATTTCTGGTCGCAGTTCCTCCTATTGTTATTATTGTTACAATGTACAACTGCATCAAAATATTGTTTCAAGAGAAATGTTTGTTTTTTTTTGTTTTTGTTCTTTTCAGTATTTAACCATCACACATCGCAAGATTAGAATTAATTTCATTGTAGTAAGTAAACACTTTAGTACTTTTTCTTTATTTATTTAGGTTAAATTTGTGTGTAAAAAAATAAACACTAAACAGGAAATGATAGATAAGTTTTGTTTTCGTAAAAAAAATGAAATGAAAAGCAAATGGAACAATATCCCCTCCAAATAAGTGCTTTAACCAGTCACAAGACACATATTAAAAATAAAAAACGACGTACAAATATAAACAATAAAATCAAATCACGAGATAAAAACGTAGCTATTACTATTCATCGTAAATTTTATTAACGGATAAAACCAGGACAGATTTGGGTGGAGACAACCAACCATTTTTCACGTTAAATATCTTAATAGAAATACCAGATAATGGGTCTAAAATAAATGTCTGATCAACCTATCATTATACAAATAATTAATTCGATTTCTCTGTAGGAGAAATAAAAATATTGAACACTTACCACTGGTCCATGTTGTTATTTTGCCGAAACACTCGCTTGCAAACTTTTACAGCACCGCCGGTGTGAATAGCAAATGTGTCACTAATAAAATAAACGGCCACCCAAAACTCGGTATTCTCTCTGCATATATTCACAAGTTGTTGGTGGAAGGGTTTACGATAAAGCTCATGAACTTCTTCTATGAGCAGTGTCCCTTCCAGACGTGGAGGGTCATGGCACTCCACAATTTCCTGTCCTTTATAGCTCTTATTAAATTTTGTCTTTTTGTGCTCTCTCTCTCTCCTTATCCATGTTCTGCTAAATATTTACAAGCTTGTTGGGGATGTGCAGAATCAATTAATTGTAATTGAGTGAATCAGAAGGAATTTGTGTAGGTTGCGTGACTTTCTGCATCCACAAACAAATAAATAAACGAATTTTAAATACAATCAAAAACAAGACATATTCAATTTAGAAACCAACAAAACATTTATATACAATTAAAAGTAATATATATACAGGATATTTTGGTATATGTTACTATGGCAAAGTGTGTGTGATATTTGAGGTTTCGGTATGTCTCTTTTTGTATTTGTATGTTCAGTTACAGTCTTTCTGGAATTGTGTTAATTAATATTAAAAATGTCGATGTTAAGTGTTTTTAGGAATGAGTTCTTATAGAGTGGTCTACCTTTGACTGTAAAATTTCTGAATCGTTCAAATGTTGATTTTTACTTAATAATGTAGTGAGTATAGTTCACTTTGGATAAGCAAAGTTGTTTTAGGTTTGCGATTTGATGTCCACAGAGTTGGTCAAGTTTAAATTGCAAGTGAGTCACCGTTGATGTACTTTTGCGCAGTAAAGTCGTGATTTCGAGTGACGTGGAATATGTTGGCAATTTCTCTGTGGATGTTCGTCTCTGACTCTTTTGGTTAGTCGGTGTTTTCTTTTATGTTTTTGAAAGTCCAAAATCGGCTCAAAGAAGTTTTGGCGCAATTTTGTTTTGCACGTGAAACTTTCAGATTATTGTGTCGTTAACCAATGAGATTTGTTGATTCGCCTAGTACGGTTTTTTATTGGTCGAAGTTTTCCGTACATAGGCATAAGGTATAGACTGTTCTGTTACTAGGGGTGATAGGTAGAAAAGGACGAGTCTACAAGCTTATTAGGAAGGTTATGTACTGCTTTCCTTTATCCCTTTTGCCTTCAGTATGTCCTGTGACTGTTAAATTTTCCAAGCCCACTTTCTTCATTATGTGCTTTAGAAATTCCAACTGTCTGTTTCTGGGAAATCACAGCATGAGACAAGCTGATGAAGAAAGATTAATTATTAGAAAATCCCTTTTTGCCTACGCATTCTGAAAGTTTGGATTAGTCACAGGAATGGTGTATCAACCCTTGCAGTGGGCTGAGGTTAGATGTTGACAAAGTAGGAGAAGGAAGAGAGAAAGAGATTAGCACTGCCTGTATGGAGCAATGGTGTGACATGAGCCATGAAGGAATTTGGAGTTAAGGAACAGCTTGATTCCTCTGACCACTCTCAAAATGGGAGTGGACAACCCCAAACTTGGAAAATCACTTGAGTAAACATATTTTGAGAATATGGAATTCTAGAAAAAGGTTGATGCTAAAGGTGGAAGATAACTGAAACCAGACCCTGGTCAACCACACCCCTGCCAAACACAGGATTCCATATAAGCTGGAGATTTAGACAACTTGGAAAGTCACCACACTACTACTGCTGGAATCCATATTGTTCGCTGAGACCTGACCAAGATTTTGTATTGGCCCTGAAGATGAAAACTTAGAAATTACTAACACAAGCTGCAAGCTCCAACAGGGGATCCCAGTGTCATTTGATTAGAAAGGAAGGGTTAAAACTGCTGTATACAACAAATCATATATAAACCAAATCGTTGTTACATTTTTAACCCAAGTTAATTCTTTATTCCAAACAGTCCTTTTTTTGTGTGTAGCTCCCAGCCATCAACCTGTCTTCACTTCAGTTTGCTTCATCAGTGATCTTCTCACTCTCTGCAATCAAAAAAAAAAACAACATGGCTGAGGAGTGAATGGTTGTGAACAAACACCAGTAAACTCAATTGGAACCGTGCCCATCATCATGATACCAGCAACAAACCAACATGTTAAGGAGTGAGGAGTCAGCTAGATGGTAACCACAGTGGTCTGAAGAAGGTTGAGGACCAACATGAGGATGTTAGTTACATGTTCACCCAATATAAGGTCCAGGGGCCACTCCAGGTAGAGAATTATTGAATGAGGTTGTTGAGGAAGAGGTAAGTGCAGTTTATGAGGATATGTAGGAAAGATAATGGTTAACCCTAGACTTGCAAAGGTTAAACTTGTAATGATCAGGGAAGCATCCTCTCAGGAATATGTTCCACAAAGTACCACTTCTTGGGAAGAAGCTGTCCAAGTGGAACTTCCTTCTTACTAAAGGAATATGAAGAGAATGAGGATGGTTCATCATGATGTACATGGCATGGCAGAACTTAACTGTGAAGGTTAAAACTAGCAGGACTAAAAAATGTAGCTTTAAGGACATTTACTAGGGAAACACCAATAGAGGCTTGCAACATTTGATTTGTGGGAAAGGGGTTGTAGGGTGGGAAATAATTCATCACCCACAAGGCTGCATGGATGTTTTTGAACTCTTTCAAGACTGAAAAACGAGGACTGGGCAGCTCCAGTCTAGATATAACAGCAGTACTCCAGTCTGATCTGATAGCACATACAGAAGTCAGGTACTTACTGGAGTGGTACATGAAACCAACCATTTTTCCAGCATCTTTAGCAATGGATTGAAATCTGGAATGAACTTGAGTCCCATTAGGTGTTTAAGGCAAGGAGTTTCCTTGACAGAACCATTCATTATGATAAAGAATAATTCAGGGTCTACTCAATGATGGAATGTTACTAGTTTGGTTTTTGAAGTATTAATGTTACAAGTTAGTTATTCCCCCATTGATCTGTTAGAGCTTGTTCAGAGAAGAGATCAGCTTCCAGCTTCATCTAGATTTCTAAAGTTGCACTTATCCACTGTTGTATCATCTGCATAGACATCCACTAAAGATCAGAGTATATTCTTTGGTAGATCATTAATATAAATCAGAAAGAGGGTATGAACATGAAGAGAACCTTGGGAATGCCTTCATTGGTCTCATGAGCTTTCTGGTGACTGGCCATTAAAACCAATCTTCATGGACCTACTGTTTAAGAATTATTTTTCAAAGATTCCATAGCTTGCACGTTTGTGAATAAATCTCCTATGCTACACCTTGTCAAACACTTTCATATATCCAAGGCAATCATCTTTGCAATAAATTTATTGTCTAGTGCCTCAATGAATAATGACAGGACATCAGCAGTGGACCTAGTCAAGGAAAATCCATACTATTTGTTACTCGGAAGGGTATTATTGAAATGATCAACAACCTTTTTGTTGATCATAGACTCAATTTGATGATGGCATTAAAGAGGTTGACTAACAATGAGAAAGAGTCATTAAATTTCTGGAATATATAATGAGAAAAGAGATCCTGGAGAATTTAACAGTTACAGGACATTGAAAGCAAGAGAAGCAAAGAGAAACAGCAAGTAAGTGATTTAATAAGTATGAGTGAATGGTTTGAGAGAAAACATTTTATATACATACCTACAGAACATGAATTTGACAACTTTATTCAGGCAGCAAAACAGGTAGACATTAGTAGATATGGATATGGAAAAGAGAAGTGAATTGTCTTTACTGGTAAGTTGCCTTGCATCTGTGATTTTTACTCGGCCATATCAGGCTAGAGAAAATGAAATGTTGGAGAAGCTGTGTTGTTGTTCTGATGAATTAGCTCCAATTACCCAAGTGACTTACTTTTCAGGCTCCAGTCAAAACTGTCACATGATGGATTTTTTACTCTTTGACACATGCATAAATTATAGCTGTGTCATTGGCAGACAACTAAGTTTTGTAATGTTATTTAAAGCAACAAAAGACAGAAAGTTGTAGAAAGCCATGACCACCCATGTCCTGAGAGGAGATGGCACATAAATGAAAACAAATAACCACACAAATGAAAAATCTCTCAAGACAAGCATATTCATTTTTGTCTAATCTTTCTCCATTTCTTCTGTTGCTTTTTAATTTCCAGTTGAACAAAGGATAGGCTGTGCTAGATGTACTTTTGTCAAACATCACAAAATTCTACAAAACCAAAATTTTAACCTAAGAACTTGTCAGATTAAATAGCCAATAGCCTCTAGACTCTCATATGAATGCTATGCATGGCATCTAGTTTGTTCACAAATGTGTAAACTATCAGCTATATATAACTGTTTTCTCACATCCATGATTAAAAATGGCTTCAAGCAAATGAAATCTATAGGTCTTAAAGAAGAATTTCATGCATCAGATCTGTTGTGTTTTGTTTGCAATTGTTTTTTGAGGTTGAAAAAGTTGTGTGTTGATGAATAAAAACTACAAGTGTTGAATTGGTCAAGAAAAAAGTAAAACAAGAGAATGAATAAAACAAGATTTTTATTCTGTCGGGAACTTTTAGTATGAAGAATATTTAAGGATAGTTCCTGAAAGAAACTGTAAATTCAAGGAATGTTCTTATGACAGTCCCTGTAAAAATGAAGAAATGTTTGAATTTACACTATAGGTGTGTTAAAGAATGAGTGATGTGTCTTGTCTAAGCCGTGTGATAGAACATAAGGAAAATAAAGAGATAATCAAGAAGTTGATTTTCCATACTACCTTAAACAAAAGGTTAGGAAGGAAACTCTCATCAATACTAGAAAGAGCAATAACACTTACTGGACTTAATGTATTTTCTTGAAAAACTGTTTTCAGAGAAAGATTTTGTAAATTTCAACTGACAATAACACTAACTGTTCAGTCAATGAATGTCAAATATTTCCTGTATGGAAATCTGGCCCTATCGGCTGTGGCTTCAGAATACACCGAGTACATCTCTGCAAAGGAGTAAGACCCCCACCAAATGAGGCATCCTG